GCGGCGCCCTGCGAGGCGAAGCGAGGCGAGGCTGCGCTGAGCGCCGTCTGCGGCCCCGGGCGGGCGAGCGGTGCGGGGGAGCGGCAAGCTGAGCTGCTCCGACGTCAGGGGTGTCTCTGCTCCAAACAGGGAGCGAGGGCGGGGGCAGCGGAGGGGAGGGACGCGAAACAGAAAGAGCAGGCGGGCGCGCACAGCAGTTCCCTCCGGGCGCGCAGGAGGGGGCGCCGCGGCCGCTCGGCTCCGGGCCCAGCGCGTCCTCCCGCGGGAAGCACCCGCCCCGCGCCCGGTCTCCCGGGCTTGGGCCCTTTCCTCCCGCAAGCCCCGGGCCCAGCTTCCGCAGGGTCCGACGGGGCAGCAGAGCTGCCGGTACCCTTGCCAGAGACCGAGGGTCAAGGCAGCGAGCTAGGAGCCCCGGCACTTTCTAAAGCGCCTTCCGCCGGGTTTCTCTGCGCTTCGACTGCTCTCCTCCCGACTTTCCTCAGAGTGGACCGTCAGGTCGTGCCAGGCCTCGCGGTGACAAAGATGGAGGTGTTCTATTTTGTGGGAACCGGACATTGCAATCTTGCTCCGAGAGTGTGGCGCTGCTACCCATGGAGTCCAGGCACCAGGAGTCTGCCTTCACTCCGCAGTCTTTCAGGGCGCCCATCCTCTCAGCCCATGGGCATGAGAATGTGACCCGGTTCGCACCAGTGTCACTAGACCTCCGTCCAGCCGCCCCTTGGCTCCAATCATCTGGAGAAGGGTTGTAAGGGCCCTAGAAAGGGCTCTTTGGAATAAAAGGGCCGGAAGATAGTCTGTTTCCCTAGCTTCTAGGAAGAGCAAACCCCGCGTCCAGCCTCCCTGCCAGTCGGCACTTGGGTGTATTATGGTAGTACACTCTCTGTTGTTTACCCAATGGAATGAGAAGATAGCTTTACTCCTGCAAAGTGGTAGCCACCGGACACCACTTGGGACACAGTTGTGAGACTTAGGTATTTTGTTTTATTTCATATTATAGATATCCTTGTAGGTGTCTTTTTCTTGGCCGGAAGCTCCGAGATGGACAGTCCTGCTCATCTGGATGTCACGTGGTTGCTGAGCATCCTGGGTGACCCCTAGCGGCCTGCTGCTGACTCCATAGTGCACTCCTACCTGCCTTTTCTAAACCCAGCTAGCACCTCCGCGGCTCCTAGCTCTTGTTTATGCCGTTCCCACTGCCTGGGGTTCCCTTTCCCTCCTTTCATCTCCTGGCAAAGGCATTCTTCAAGCACCAGATTGCAAAGTTTTCCCAATAAACTTCTCCCTACTTTGAACCTGAGAGGAGGTGCATACATGGTACATACCTATGTTAATTTCCCCCTACAGTAAACCAAGTTGATTCCAGTTGACTCAGACTCATGGTGACCCCATGTATTGCACTCCATAGGGTTTTTGTGGCTGTGACCATTTAGAAGCAGATTTTCAGGACTTTCTTCAGAGGTGCCTCTGGGTAGGTTCAAACCCCCAACCTTTTGTTGAGGAGCCTAGCACTTATGGAATAATCTCATACACCTCTTTCCTCCATTAGATGGTGGGCTTCTTGAAGACAGGGATCACATATTTATTTTAGTGTCCCAGTGCTTAACCTGAGGCCAGACAAGGTGTACAATACATGTGATATTATTCCCTACAGATGTAGCACAGTTAAGTCTTTCAATAATGTTAATTATAATGACAATTATAATAGTTTACACTACAGTGTACCTTACTATGCACCTGGTCCTGTTGTAAGCACTTTGAATCCTCACAACTCTATGAAGTAAACAATATTGTTATCGCCATTTTATAAGTGAAAAAAGTCACCAACAGCCTGAGGCCTGTTGTTGTTGTTGTTAGGTGACTTAGAGTCAGTTTTGACTCATAGCAACCCTATGTAGAACAGAACACAACAGTGCCTGGTCCTGTGCCAACCTCATTGCTATGCTTAAGCCCGTTGTTGCAGCCACTGTATGGATCCATCTCACTGAGGCTCTTCCTCTTTCGCTGACCCTCTACCAAGCATGATGTCCTTCTCTGGGGCTGGTCCCTCCTGATAACATGTCCAAAGTACAAGAGATGAAGTCTGGCCATTCCAGTTGTACTTCTGCCAAGACAAATGTGTCTGTTCTCCTGGCAGTTTATGATATATTCAATATTCTCCACCAACACCACAATTCAAATGTATCATTTCTTCTGTGGTCTTCTTTATTCATTTTCCAGCTCTCACATGTATGTGAAGCTGTTGAAAACACCATGGATTGGGTTAGGTGCGACCCCTCCTTGGGTTTCCAAGGCGGTATCACTACGGAAGTAGGTCCCCCAATCTTTCTTCCAAGGAGGGGTTGGTGAGTTTGTCAAATGGTAAGCAGTCACATGCCTTAGGCACTATGTGATCAGAGCTCCTCAAATGTGACATCTTTGCTTTTGAACACTTTAAAGAGGTCTTTTACAACAGATTTGCCCAATGTAATACATCATTTGATTT